CCACGCATCACCGCTCATTCCACGAGGGCCCAGGCCTCCTCGACTGCCTTCCTGGCTCAAGTCCCGATCCACGACATCTGTAGAGCCGCAGTGTGGTCATCGGTCCACACATTCGCTACTCACTATGCGCTGGTGCAACAATCCAGAGACGATGCTGCTTTCGGGTCAGCGGTTCTGCACACGGCAATGTCTCACTCCGACCCCGCCACCTAGGTGGGGCTTGGGAGTCACCTAACTGGAATGGATATGAGCAAGCACTCGAAGAAGAAAAGACGGTTACTCACCGTTGTAACTGTTGTTCTTCGAGATGTGTTGCTCATATCCATTCCAAACCCGCCCCGCTTCCCCACTGTCGGAGTAGCCGGCAAGAAGGAACTGAGGGGGCGCTGGGTCGGCTGGGGTATATATCCAGCGCCATGAAGGCGCCACTCCAGGGGGCCCCACAGCCGACCCACCGGGGGTTGCTAGGGTAAAAATCTTCCGACGATCGTGCACGCGGCGCGCGCACACCTAACTGGAATGGATATGAGCAACACATCTCGAAGAACAACAGTTACAACGGTGAGTAACCGTCTTTTGCTAACCTAGCCAGTATTATTTGCTCTATGCTGTTCACATGTCATTTCTTTTGTCTTGTGGATAGTATGATTGCAGAATGCTATTGTGGTTAGCAGAAGAAAGATGATCTTGTGGTTGAGGCGCAGAATTGGGACTTGGGAGATTTGGATTCAATTAATGGCTTTGTCACAGATACCTGGTGACTGCAAGTCATTTAGACCCAGATTTTCAAAGGTATTTTGGTGTTGCTGTGCTCAGCATTGCAATGCCTAACTGATTTAGGAGACTGTCTCAGTTTCAAAAGTGATTGAGACATTTAGGAGCCTAAATCCAATTCAGTGCTTATTTAACAGCATAAATACAGATTTAGGAACCTAACTTTAGGCCTTTAACTTAGTCCTGTTTGAAAGGACTAAATTAACGCAAACTAGGTACGTTTTAGTTTGCCCGCGCAGTGTCCACACTGGGGAGTTAGTGCTCAGCATGCTAGGGTGGATGAAAAAATCAAGACATTTATTTAAGAGCCTAAATATAGATTTTTGGAGACTAAGTTTAGGTATCCACATTTGAACTTTGGCCTTTGTAGACAAACCCCAGATTGTCTTATCATTTTAAACAGGAGTAGAACAGTGGGGAAGGGAATGAGGGAGAACAAAGTAGAGAAAGGGCAGGAGTCAGGATATGGCAGAGAGTTGGATAAGTTTACCACAGGTACACTTAAACTTTGCTGTTTTTACCCTGATGCCTTGCAGGAAAACAGCACAAGGCAATTATTCCACAACCTGTAGTGTTCCAAAAGATAGTGTGTGACAATGAAATGAAATGAGAGCAATGGATATTGATCAGTACTTGCTTTTCTATCCTCCCTTCTTTCAGGATGTATTGGCTGGAAAAGTCAAGTGCATAGAAACTGAAGCTGGATTAAGCTACTGAAATTATAGTAACGTTAAAACTGTTTTTGGAACAGGGCAAATCTCTTAATGGACTGTACCTGTCAAGCCATTATCATTAGACAAAGTATACAGGTTAAATAGGTAGTTAGTAGAGTGTGGTGCCCATAAGTCAGTTCTTTGGTCAGGGGTCTGATGAAATGTGTACAATATCTAAACTAAATTAGTTTGTGCTGTGTGGTAAAAATGGTACATTAAATAGTCTACACAATAAGTGTTAACTAGTAGTTTGCTGGTAGCACTTTGACAATGTTGTGCAATTTTAAAAACTGACCATCAATTTGTAGTTCATTGAACTTTTCAGACTTTGATAGGCTTGGGCCATATTTACATCCTTTTAAGTATTTATTTTACTGTTGTTTTAGAAAGTGCCAACATAAGGGTAAAAATCAGGTTAAGTAATTTCTAAGAAATTCAAAGAGATGACAGTGAAGCAGTTGACAAGTAACCTGGGGCAAAACACTAATTTTCTGAAAAATGGATGATGATGTCTGAGATAAAGAAAAATGAAACCTGAGAATTCTTTGTCAAGACATACATACTGGAGCAATGTGACATGTACATGGCTTTAGATTTTTGCAGAAAAACTTGAAATATAAAGGATGATTTCTAAATATATTTGACCTAGGGCACAGATCAATTTTATACACTTATATACTTAATAAATGTGGAGGGTTTTTTTTATGAGCAACTGCTGACATTCAGCTACTTGACACCAGTGGGAGTTGGGTCATGCCCCAGTTCAGGAGGACAGGGCATTGCTGGAATGGGAGCTTAGGAATACCTTCAAAACTCTATCACCAAACTGAAAGAAGTTTGGGATGATTGCCCAACCTTAAAAGTTTTCCCTTTCAGGGTACTGTTGAATCACTTTTATCCCTGACTTTCATAAAAGACATTTCTGAAGAGCAGACTGCTCGTGCACCAAATCCCTTGAGAATTTATTTAGGAAAATACCTGGAATATACCAGGGGTGGCCAACCTGTGGCTCCGGAGCCGCATGCGGCTCTTCAGAAGTTAATATGCGGCTCCTTGTATAGGTGCCAACTCTGGCGCTGACTTTCCAATGTGCCAATGGTGATCACTGCTCAACCCCTGGCTCTGCCCCAGGTCCTGACTCCACTCCGGCCCCTTCCCCAGAGCCTGCCATGCCCTCGCTCCTTCTCCCTCTCCCCCCCGCCCCCCAGGAGCCTCCTGCACACTGTGAAACAGCTGATTGTGGCGGGCGGGAGGCACTGGGGGCAGGAGGGGGGGAGCTGATGGGGGGCTGCTGACATATTACTATGGCTCTTTGGCAATGTACATTGGTAAATTCTGGCTCCTTCTCAGGCTCCGGTTGGCCACCCCTGGAATATACCCTCTCTCAGATCTTTCAACAAACTTCTCTCTCTCTCTCTCTCTCTCACACACACACACACACACACACACACACACACACACACACACACACTTGTTCCTCCTTCATACTGCACATTTGAATATAGCACCATCATAGTATCAGTGCTTTGAGGAACAGCATATAAACATGTTTTAGCAAAGTGTACTGTATACGTTTGTCTGCTTGTCAGGGTGTTGCTGTCTCTCTTTATCTTGTTTAGGAACACAGATTCCTCAGTCCCTCCCCTATAACTTCATGGATGCTAGTTCCATGGAATTTATCGCTGACTAAAGCAGGGGTGGGCAAACTTTTTGGCCTGAGGGCCACATCTGGGTATGGAAATTATATGCCGGGCCATGAATTCCCGGTGGGGAAGGAGGACTCTATGGGATGTAGCATGGGGGGAGCTCTATAAGGGATGTTACTGAAGTGGGGGGAGGGAGGACTCAGGGGTGTGGGGAGGGGGGGGGAGGGCCTCTACAGGGGTGGTACAGGGGACTCTTAGGGGCCATGCCAGCAGTGACACCAAGGTGGCCGTACCAGGCACTGTCACGGGTGGAGGCACCCTAGCTGGGACAGGTGCGGCCGCTGGGCAGTTCCGAGGCTCTCAAAGGTGGGGCCATAGAAGACCAGGAGGGGATTGGGTGCACTGCTGCATGGGGGGGTGGGGAGGCTGCCACATAAGAGCGGGGTTCCGATCCCAGAAACAGCGCAGTGTGGCTCTGCGTGCTAGAAGACGGTGCTCATCAAGGGAATTGTGAGTCGGGGGCTGGGGAGCGCTGGGCAGGCAGAGTGGGGCAAGCCCCCAACCCCGTTCCCTGGCGGGAGCTCGAGGGCTGGAAGCGGCCTGCGGGCCTTAGTTTGCCCACCCCTGGACTAAAGGAAGGGGTCGGAAAGGTGTGTGGCATTTATCTTCCTTTGAGGCATCCTACAGTGTTGACTTTTGGATGCAGGATAGTGCATTAGACCATTTTTGGGCGGTTTTTTATGGTAAATCTTTTGTTATTAATTACTGACAGCCTTTAATAACAACTATGGAAAGAAGACTCTTGGAAAAAGTCACTAGGGTAAAATGACAAATATGTAAATTGGGTGCTGTGTGAAAGTATAGGCTTTTATAAATAAATTCTAGTTTATTCTTACCATCATCTACTTGGAAAAGGAGTCATGCCTCAAAGAAAAAATATAAATCTTTTGGAAGTTTTTTTTAAAGTTTTTGATCAAATGAAAAACTGAAAATAATTATCTGGCTTCTGAAGTTAGT